AAGTATATAAATCATAATTTGAAGGAGTAGGTAGATACTGAATTATTAAACTTAATCTAGACTAAAGACAATAGTCTTTGGGAATAAATGTAAAGGTATTTGTATATGGAGGCTTAAACAATATCTAAAAAATATTGTTTTCAATAAAAATAAATGATATATCTAATCATAAAAAATTACTAAGCTATATAGTAGACATGTCCACATTACATCTATTTTATACTTGATGTAAGAACTTAACGGTTATTATTAAGTTTAATAACTCTTAAATTACTCTTTCGTTTTTCGATTTAGATGTATCAACATTTTTCAAAAAGGCTCTAGTTCACAAACTGTCAACAAAAAATGAGGTTTTTGTTTAAATAAACAGAGGTTTTTATTGCCACAGGATTCTCATTAAACGGTATTAAAATCTAAGTTTCGAAAAACAGGGAATTTAATTATACTGAATACTTTTATAAATCAAAATTCAAATAATTCTATTGTTATAGGATATAAGATAGATGAGCAGGCTTGGTGAAAACGTTCTTACATTTTTATCATATTTATAATAATTATAATAAAAATTCTTATGTTTCTATTTGAAAAATATTGTATTGTAAAATTGACTTATATAATGTTCATTTATTTTATCCCTTATAACCCAGGTATCAAAATTATAATATAATATAATAATGTTATAATTACATTTCTCTCATAATGACTAAGATTTTTAATGATGATAATTTAATTAGAAATTAGGTACAATAATGTTATTGTATTATTAAAGTATTATTTTTAGCAGCAACGCCATTATTATTACATAATTTAAAAATTATGTTTTGGTATTGTTTTTATAATATTATTATATTATTAATAACATATATTTTTTTTCTTTACATCAGCACCTAATAAGTGTTTTGAAAATACTGTCTAAAATGTCTGTATAAAAAGTTATAGCATACTCAGGTAGGAACATTTTTTTAAATATTATTTGATCATTATTATTTCATTATTTCAGAATATTGGATGTTTATGGTGGAATACAAATAAAAACTTAATTTTATTTAGTATTTTTTGAAACAAGAGAAGTAAATTTAGAGTAAACAAAATTAAGCAAACTACACTTTATTATATGCTCAAAAATAATATTTTATGAGTACAATGACAAATGATATATTGTACTATACTTTGTCTGAGAAATATATAAAAAAAAGCCAGTTGTGTTATTTTAAATTTGGAAAGGACAATTCTAAGCAGAGTTTGTAGGCTACTTATAATTTATATATGTGTACATAGGAAACCCTTAACCATTGTATACCTGTGTAGGTAAATATGTTTACCTATTGTTTTATCAGACTAATTTTTTTTTACATAATATTATAACAATATCTTATTTTTATCGTTCTAGAGATACCTATATTATTAACGCTGTAATATTATAATTTAACTTAATTCAATATCTATCAGAAATATAAAATGTGAAAAACGTAGCTAAAGTTAAATTTTAGACATGAAATAATATAATATAAAATGGAATTACCTATTAATACTTTCAGCCTGACATATTTATATTTTTTTTTTTATTTTTTTTTTTAATATTACATAATATGGCTCTATTATGTATACACTTGTTTCTCTTTAGTCTTCTTCGCGGTTTGGCATTAATATTGTTGGAATAAGAGTACAAGAGTCACAATGATTGACAGAGGGGTAGCAAAAGACTTGGAGTAGGTAGATTTCGCTACTTCTGAGTCTGATATAGCCTGGAGCCTGGACATTAAGTCCGAATTAGTCTTTTTTTTTTAAATTTCAAAACAAACTCTTGTAAACATAATGCAATAGTAATGTTATGTGTTTTAATTTATAATTACTATAATTATAGATATACTATTTACATAGCATCTTACCACTTTCGCCATACGCCATATTATGTATGTAAGAACTTAATAATTTAAGATAAGTAAATATATTTTTCTAATACATTTCTTTATCAACCTAATCCAATAAAACGCTTGTGAAAAAAAGTCAATTACTTTTATTTATTTGTAGAAAACATTGTGGAATGGAGATTTTAGAATAAGTTAAAATAAAGTACAAAAATGCATAATACATAATAGTTAAAATTAAAACACAAGAAAAATTAAAATGTCTTCAATGGATGGTTTTGTGTATATTTAACAAGTAATTCGTAGACATTCTAATCTGGGACGAACCTATTTTGATATAGCGGAAACCTTACGCCATGGTGGCGCACCGAAGGAGGTAAACTCTAGGTTCACCCCTTCGACCCTCACCCCCTTGCAGCATAGTCATTTATTTATTTATTTAATATTATCACAACTATATTGTTTTATATAAATGCATGTAAGAAAAAAAAAAAAAAATAGATTTCTCGATTGGTACCTCCCCGCCTAATACCTAAACACAGACAAATATATATACAAGATAATAATTTCTCTCAGTAGTTGTCGCCACTGTCATCGCCGAAATTATCAAAACGATTATTTCATGAAAACATATAAATAGCGAGGTGGGTACCTATGCTAAAATACAGTTAACATGTTGAGATGAGATTCGGACAGAAATAAGTTATCATCGTCAACCTGAGTCGTAGATCATATTCACGTCGTATTCGGTCTCCTTAAAACTTTACAAATTAAAAGATTATAACTAACTAGGTATAACTGAATGACATATTATTTTGATGTTTTTCCTTGTTCTCAAATTCTCAATAGTTCACAACATTTATGTGTTGCAAGGTGACACCGGGAACGAGCTGTCGACACTAGTTTCACATCACGGGCGTCACGGAAAAAAAACCGGACCGCCACTTTGGATTTTAAACAGGCATACGGCAGTTTATTATTAAAAAAAAAAAATAATATTTGGGAGATATTCGATCAACCCATGATATTGAAAACTAATATAAGAAACCCGGCATTAATTGAAAAACGTGAGTGATCGGTAAAGTCGTTATATAGGCATACTATGGCCAATGGGCGATAAACGAAAACTTATATTATGGAGTCCGAAGTAGCTCGGACAATTTACAGTGAATTTAAAACTTCCAAGAGCATTATAATGTACGACGTGCACACACATAAACATGGTGAACCTAACAAAGTTTCGGGAAGATTAAATGGACCCCTGGCGATGCCCATATAATTGCGCCACCATCACCACTGCGATTTATGGTCATTGTATAATGATATTGTACATTTAACACGTATAAAAATATAAAAATCTCCGAAAATTCGAAACGTCGTACGGCGAAAGTTCAAACTAGATGTCTACATTGTACGTATGCCCCTACTATATGTATAGAGTTTGGTTATAAATAACATGATGGCCGATGGCTATAAAAAGAGATACAACTTTAACAAACGTATTAATATTATTATTATCATTATTATTGTTATTATTATTACTACTGTTCGGAGTGGTAACCATAAGTTCTTGCTCTCTGGTAACGTTGAACAACCGTCGATAAAATACAATAATAACCCGGCAATATAGTTACGACGACTGTTTATAAGTCGACGGCAATAATAATCATTATTAATAAATATCGCGTATTGAATCGTTCATATTAATATGGATTGTTGGACGTTTAAATCACTACTCTCGTTAATCACGTCACTAACACAAGTAACAACAGTGTAATAACGAAAGTGTTACATTTTAATAATAATACTGCCCTCACTTATCCTGTAAACATGAGCGTGAGGGGGGTGCAGAACGTGCGATCGTATATGCGCTGCGTCTATATATTTTATTTCTATTAACAGCTACTGCAGTGGTTATGAAAGTTTCCATCGTACTTCACTATCAGCTAAAAAATTGATGGTCGGTTTTCAAACTTCTGGATAGTCTATGTTTAATGAGCCTATGTGGTATATTATGGTTTAAATTATTATATTTCCATGTTGATAACATTCAACTTGTATTACATGTATAACAGCTGTTTCATCAGAGAAATGTTTGCTTTTTGGTTAACTGACAAAAAGGAGAGGGGGGGGGGGTCATTGCTTTTTAAAAACGTTTGCACTTCTTGGACACGGTTAGGCTTATACCATAGTAATTACCCGCCTATGCCAACGACACAATATAATATTAAACGAAACGGCAAGGAAATTAAACTTTATTATTTGAAACCCTCGTTATAAACACGAGCGAGTAGTTACTCGAAAACGCCGTTTAAAACAATTGGCTCTATTGGCCATCGAAGTACCTACTCTGTTACGTAGTCGAGAGGTGCTGTGCAATAATTAAGTATAATACTACGGTTCAAAGTGGAAAATGTGTTTTTCATCGGACGCACAACCCGCGGTGGAAATACTATTTACTATAATATTCCAAGTGACGTGTCGATTTAATATATTGTTTGGGCGTCATTGACTGTAGCGGAGACTCCACTTAAGGGTGACTTATATTATAATATAATTGGCATGCATATAGGTACACCGAGTTTCCCCAAAATTAGGGTACACTCTATAAGTTGGTCACCATAGGTGTATTGCTCAGTGCTCGATACCTATTTCCGAACTCTGCTTGACGCGTTGTGGGACATATGAGACTAAACTGTCTCATCATATAACTTACAATCGTTTAACCCTTGTATTTCGAGCATGCGCAAAGGCTTAACTTTGTCTGCGAACACCGTTTTGACGTGTGTGTTTGTGTGTGGGCAGGTGAGACTGCAGCAGATCGTCCGTGGCAGCTGTCACCGATGTCTTATGTTTTTATTTTCGTCTTGCTTAGCCGCAGTACATAATACCTATATGTAAGCGGAATAAAATCGAAACGAAATATTAATGCAACAATAATATATTTCATGCAAGTTACACAGGCAACGCGGGGAAAAATCATCGTTTGGGCCCCATAGCGGGCGAACACTCAGACGCTCGGGCAAAGCGGACCTTTGCGCAAGTATTCGAATCCCGGTGCGTAACGGCGGCGCGGCGGGTACCTATACTCGCGCTTGGAGGGAGACGAAAACCGTTTAAATGTCGGTCGGCCCTCTTAGGCGGCAGTCGTCGAACATATCGCGACTTTGGCCGGTCCACCCGCGTCCGTCCGCGTGAATTTAACGTAAAACAACAACAACAACAACAATAACAATAACGATGACAATGACATCTCTTTAAGTCGGTGTTGGCAGCGTCGTCAGACAGAGTGTGGCGTCTACGCGATTTAGTAGAAAAAAATTTTGAGGATGTCTGTGACGGTAAGTGATAACGATAATAGTTGTACGATATTAAATCCTTATTCCGAGGTGGTGAATCCGTTTGATGACACAACTGCAAGTCGCCCCCCCCCTCTTCGTTAAAGGTTTGATGATGTCAACTGTTATATATTCCTTGTCTTACAACATAAGTATATACTACACAGCACAAATTACCCGAAAATGTCGATAAATATGTTTTCTTTTCATCTTTTAGGAGTGGTTTTAAACGTACCCCCAAATTATTTAATATGTAGTACTCAATAAATACAAGACTACCTGTACTGAATTTTTTTTTCTATTTGGATTAAGGTTTCAACTACTAAGGTCTTTAGCCTGGCACTGTGTGGGGGGAAGTTATAGTGTATTATATATATCATTATTATCACAAGTATTTTTAAATCGATTTATTAAATTTATTATTCTATTCACTTGAATAAATTATTATTATTATTACCATGTGTGATTGTGGACTGAATAATATTTTATACTTTCAATCATACATCGAAGGTTTTGATTGTATGTAGTTCTAGGATATAATTGGCAGAAAAAAATAAAACATTTAGTACTGACGGACGGCTGTCAAAACCAGAACGATGTTTTTTTATGATTCCAAATAGCTACTGTTCGTGTCTCGGTTGTGTAATTCCTAGAAGGTTGTTCGTAATTTTTGTAGGCTGGCACCTGTGATAATTGATAAAATATGTCGTGACCAACGGTTTTAGTAGTCATCATAACGAGATTGTGTCCATTTAGATGCAAATTTTTTTTATAGAATTCAATCGAGAAGCTTAGATCTTTTAAAAAAAAAAAAAAATGCTCGAAGAAAATACTCATATTTTTCCCCTTGATAAATAAATATAAATTGCATATATTATATTATAGTTCTACACTTTGAATACAAATTTATTTAAGTATAAATTAAAATTTCAGTATTTTAATTTTTTTTTTTTAACGAAATAAACTCCTGACTAGAGTTGATATTTTGAACGAAAGTAGTTTTATAATTATCCGTATACACTATATTGATATTGATACTATATAGAAAAATTATGTTCTGCTTAGAAAATAATTTTTTCAACCACTAAATAAAAATCCTCATATACCCATTAGCCATTACATTATTATAATATTATGTACCCACAACATTAAATAAACTATTACAATTTCTAAAATTAATTTCATTTCATAAGCAGAAAAATGCAATCATTTGAAGTTAGCACGCAGTTTTAAAAATCACATGAAATATTTGAACGAAAATATGGCTTAGACCTTACCATTATTTACTGACTGACATTTATTAATGTAATTGATTAGGGGAAGAAAATAAGTTGAAGAATCAATAAAAATATACATAATGATAGTGTATTATAATGTTTGTAACATTTATTTGGACATGGTAAAAAAAAATCCACCGGGAACATTATTAAACGAAAACATTTTTATCGATATTTTACAAGTAGTCTAAGGTATGCAGTATTTTAATTTTTCCTACTTGTATCATTGTTTTTCTAAGAACTCGACTTATATGTTTCTAATATATTTTCCCCTTCGGTCGTCACGTCTCATTATTACACTATTAAGGTTTGCGATTGCGATCATACTTTTACGATTGATTTTTGAATTTTAAACAATAGTAATCGACAGTGTTCCGCTATTGATAGTTACATTGCGTATCTATGCATCACATCACTGCTAATCGCATTCAAGTAAGTACCTACCTTGTCCTTGTTCTTATTGTACGCTGCCGCTCTATGTTTTTTTAACATTTAAACGTTGAAAGTTTCATGGGTTTACAGTACTTTGTGTGAGCAAATCAACTAAAATATTTAATTTGTAAATTGAAAAAAATAAAAGAATTATATCTGTTTCATCCAAATAATATGTTGTACATAGATAACATTTTTCATTATGATAATCTCAACGTTAACAATTTCTAAAAAGTATTTTTTTTCACGAAAATACCATTACATTATCTTTAAATTGTTCTGTATGTCACATTCTTCTTTCCATATAAAATAATTATTATTTTTAACAAAAGAAGAAAATGAACACAAATTCATATTTTAAAATATAATTCATTTTAACTGAGTTAAAACTTGACTGTCTTCCTTTGTCGCTTGTTTTTCTTGTATGATGAATACAAGAGATTCAAACTAAGTGGTCACACGACAATGATGTTTTTAACGAGAAGTTCATACCAAAGTCTTTGCAGAGTCTTTTATAAGGGAGTACTTAGTTATAAGACTAAACTTTAAGTCACAAATAATTAAGTTACGGAAATAGATGATATTTAATTTTTACTTTTTAATACATATCAGATTCTTGAGTGGATAATAATGATGATGATAATTTTTTGGATTTACAACAAGACATCACTTTAATAACTCGACCATATAACTAAGTTTTTATTTTCAAATTGATATTTTGAAAATAACGTTTTCGTTAAAACGGCGATACACTGTCGAATAGTAATGAGTTTGAATGTATTTTAAAGTCAATGTATTTCAAAATTTCAGAAAACATAATATTTGTCAAAATAATAATATAATGACTGTTCCATAATATTATAATACGAGTACATAGAGTTTTGTTGTTGTTAACAACTGCACGGTTTTGATATATTATATTATAGAAACGAGGTTTCCATCGATTATTTAGGTGTTTGACATTAAAGTTGTTGTGAATATAACTTTTGATTGACTTGACATTTGAACAAAAACTCTTTTTCATAAAAACTCGTATGTAAATAGGTAGGTAGAGTAATAGCTATCCAGTGCGGAGTGTTTTGGATGTTCTAACAACATTCTCGTTAGCCGTTTTCGCGTAAAAAAATATATTTAATATGTTATTATACGCTTCAGGTATCTAAAAAAAACATGTTGTCATATGGTTTTATTTCATATATTTTGATATTATTATTATTATTATTATTATTATTATGAAGATTGATTACTACAGCGTGTGAACAGTGTGTTAATCCCTCACCCTCTCTCCTCCTAACCCACCAAATTAAATTTAAATATAAAATTAAAACACTCCCTAAAAAACAAAAACTACAAGCCTGATAATAACCGTATTAAACAAAATATGTTTTACCAGACACATCGATCCCAAAGTTCGGAGATGCATTAACACGCATGAAGGTAAAACAATTTCCTCACATCACATTATCATTTAGTGACATTTATACGTAACTACTCAGAAGTTTTAGATGATTTTGAATGATCTAGTTGTTAAATGATATTTGTTCCGTATACATAGATATTCAGACATTGACGAGCTCGGACAAACAGTTTTAGAATTTTAATGATGAAAGAGAGGTAAATGCGGATTTGTCGAATATAAGTTTATATTTTTATTTTTTATACCATCTCTTTAACTTAAAAAATAAAAAACCATACTAAAGTCGGATGAGGTATGAACATAAATAATTAGTAACTCCAATCTGTATTGTTATTTAAACTTTTAAGTATCATTGTGTACGAGAAACTGATGAAACATTTGAGTAGAACGAAAACTATGAATAATTAATGTGAACTGTGTACATTTATTGATTTAACTATAATATTGTATCCACAAAAATTAAATTAAAAAAAAAAAACTATAATATTATTATTATTTTTTCATTATTATTTTCCTTAGATTAAACATGTTGCTAACGCCATTAGACGCAATTTTTTTTTTTAAAGAACTTTTTGACATACAGATGCAAAAAAACACCTTTTAAAGATAATATGTACAATATTTGCAGTTCTACAGTAGAGAGTTGTGTTGCAATACTTAATACAATATTACAATAACACAATGACATATTATACCTGCATGAAGGATGGTTTTATAATTTTGTAATTTTCGGTAATTTTTATAATTATATTTTCAGACAGAAAGAGTACATCAGGTATTTTATTCAACTATCACGGTTAGTGCACTGTAAAATTTAAACGCAAAACTAAATTCAAACAATTAATAAGTTTTAATTTTTTTTTTTTAATTCAGAAAATATCTATATGAAAATAGAATGGTTCACCAATAAATTATTATTAAATGTCATGCCCATGACAAATTTAGATGGTAACTTTAAGCAATATCTAAGGTAGGAACCTACATATTTTATTACAAAGGTCTAAAAAAAAGGTCGAAAATAAAATGATATACGAATAATGCAACGATAAAATATAAATTATAAATTTGTTTATTTATTAAAAGTTTTTAGAGGGCCAATGAGTTCACTAGTTAAAATAATAAAAAAAATATAATAATAAAATATGTGTAAGGTATGCATAGTGTATTCATTTATTATTTATCTAACAATAGATAATATTTTCAGTAGGCATTATACGGGATTATAAAAATTTATTAACACATGGTTTATATTTTTTAATAGTTTTAAAATGGTAAAACCTTAGTTATAATTAATATTCATAATTTATAATAATAAAAAAAAATACGTTATATTATTTTAAACTTATGTGACCATTCATTTACAACACACTGCGCTATGTCATTTATTATTTTACGCAAGGGTTTTCATTTTATGGACCACTTAACTCTAAAACAATATCATGCATATTTTATGAATAATCACATTATGCTTTATAGTTGAAAAATATTTGTAAAAAAAAAATGACCACTACCCTATTATATTGTACATTATATAATGTTTAGGACTATTTTATCTGGGGTATTGTTTTTTTTTTTTACTCGTTTCGCAAATATTATGTTAGTTTAATTTGTTGTGTTTGTCAATACTTAATATCTTTTTTTTTTCCTGAACAACCGTTATAAAAAAACCTGTACATTGATTACTCAATATAAAAGTATTCACTGTTCAAACAGAACGTATGAAGTGTAAATCGATACACAATCGATTATTATTATATTTTCGTTTTATTATAGACAACCGCTCATGAATAACTGCGGTATGCGCGCAGAGGTACTACTGTTATTATTATTTTTTTTTTTATCGTTTTCGGTCATTGAGACCATACTACCGCCAAACA